ACATTGGTGAATGCCACAAATTCTCCTAAATCACTCGTACGCACAACTTAAGAACAAATCTGTGTGTACCAACGGTTCTTGCATGAGGCCCAATGTTATTAACGGAGCGCAGATTAACAGGGAGTTCATTCCAGAGCCTGGGGGGCCACAGAGAAGGACCGGTCACCACGGGTCTTAAAGCGAGTGAGGGGAACCATAAGGAGATGTTGATCCTGTGAGCAGAGGTCTCGCCTGGGGTTGTAAGGGGAAATGAGACTTTTAATGTACGTATTCAGGGGCTTGGCCATGAAGAGCTCTGAAGGTGAGGACCAGGATTTTGAACTGGATTCTGAATTGAACTGGAAGCCAGTGAAGTTCTGCTAGGATCGGGGAGATGTGGGTGAATTTGGAGGTTCGAGTTAGGAGTCTTGCTGCCGAGTTTTGGACAAGCTGAAGGCGAGTTAACTGTTTCTGGTTAAGACAGGTGAACAAGCTATTAGAATAATCTGAAAGCATGAATTACCATTTCCAAGTCTGAAGTGGACATTTAGGTCACATTGTAAGAAGGTCATACTGTCATGTTTACAGGGAAGGAAAAACATCCGTTCTCAACGTACTGCCTCAAAGTTGTCGCAGTTATAAATACAAAATTTGTCATAAAGAAACAATTCACTTTGCTTATAACACAAGTAAAAACACACTGAAGCGCTACAATCAGGCTCTACGAACATTAGTCAGACTTATTGTTCAAAACGTGTTTGACTTTCATTATTTGTTTATCTGATAATCCAGTCACATACAATGCAGCAGACTTTCACTGTATCAAAAAAAAGTTTTTTCAACAAATACAACTGCCTGTGTTTGAACAGCAGGGCTGATTTGACTTTTTCATCCACACGGGGAACATTTATGGTGGCAGATGAGGGCTTGTGTAACAGCTGTCACATGTGAATTGTGTTGACTTTGGAGAAATAAGAGCAAACGAGGACAAAGAGAATGAAAACGAGCATGGAGGGTGGCAGCAGGAGACAATTTAGTGAAGAGAAGGATGGAGACAGCTGTTCCACTGTAGAAGCAATAAAAACACACAAAGCAAATGTTGGGTGGGACGATGGGGGGGGGGGGGCATGTCTGTTTAAATACAGCAGTTTGGGGGAAGAAGTCAGTGCAGGTAAGCCTTAAAGGGTCTGCATTTTAATTTGAAAAAATCTGAATATTTGAACAAGGTATGCTTTGAAATGAAGAGCAAGTATAATATGTATTTTATACACAGATTAAACATAAAAAGGTCAGGATATATATACTTACAAATGGGTTGGTGTTAACCGTTTGAATGCCAGACAAGAATGAGACATGAGCAGAAATATCCCATAATGCAACCTGAGGAAYGCAAAAGAAATTAGAAATCAACATCTAGAATAGTTTACAATGCTTAAATTTAGAAATTGCCTTTGTTGTCATTGCACAGAGCACAACGAAATTACAGTTCAGAACAACCCATCCAAGAGAGAGACAAACACAAACAAACACAGGAGGACAGGTGCCCGAGTCCAGCTGCCAAAAAGAGGCATTCAATTTGATAAAATACAAGAAATAAAACATACAAAAGTAGAGATTTATAATAAAGTAAAACGCAGATTAATCAACAAACAGAGTTTTGTGAAAAAGGAGAAAAGACAAAATGAAGTAAAAGTTATCACCTGGCCGTTCACACAGCCACCAACAATAATGTTTGCATTCGAGGGGCAGAACTGAAAGGYAGTGATGTCATCTGGGCCCTCCAGGAGCAACTGCAAAATAACAGGAAAATCACACATATGTACAAAAGGTTGAATATTACACTTCAAAGCACGTYTTTATAAACGAGATGCTTACCACCCCCCATGCTTTATATTTAATACAGTCTCTCATTAAGTTCATCACAATCCACAGTGTGTCGCCTACAGCACAATTCATTCCATCAAACAAAATACCAACTAGATACCGCAYAGCGRTAGCATATATGAGCCCCGCACGTAYGCAAMGCAMCAATGCACCAGAWCTCAGCAGAACAGATTTACTGTTTTGGGTGGGGTTGCTCCTTGGTGRGCCTGAYGGATAGAGCTTCATCAGRGCTAAACAACAAAAAATCYGAAGCTCCTRTGTTGAAARGTTTTTGAGTTATAAGCATTTTTGTACTGTACGTCCAGACACCCCCTCCTCAAATATGGGGTCTATCATAAAACCATTGGCTGGCTCAGTGTAGGTCAGACTCATACACATCCCTGCCTAATTTCATGTTGATTGGTRCAGCTGTTTCTGTGCTATGGTTGAYYAAAAATCACAGAAGAAAAMMAATKAAAACAATACRAMCCCCGCTTTGCGTGCAGGGGTCATAATAAGGATGACTGTAGCAATACTTTGACTGGTTTTCTTTGTTCCATAATGCAGAAGTGGTATTACTTTACATTAGCAGCTCCAGTTTATTGATGGAGTGTCCGGGGCAAATCAATAAGACTTCTCAGGTTTTCCTCACAGCAAGTGATCATTTTAAATGACTGGAAARAGTGACTCCTCCAAGGCCAAATAAAAGCTTTTCTTAAAGGGCCAATATTATGTGTTTCTCAGGCATATATTTAAACACTATACCATAATAAAGTATCTATGTCACCTTTAGCTGTTATTAAAATGCTGTTTTTATGTTTAAACAGAAAATAAACTTCTCATCACTTCCTCTTCTAAATGCCTTAAAATTGATCTCTTTAAGAACGACCTTCCGCTTCTGTCCCGCCCATTTCAGTGCGGTGGGGGGTTGCGCATGCGCTATGATGCAGTTTACTTGGCATCTGAAAATACATTTCCTCAAAAGGTATTTTGAATCTGAAAAGAGC